ATTATTATTACATACCAAATATTAATTAAGCATGCTTCACAGACCACACATGGTATGCTTAAACATAATGATAGTGTTAGATTAGATCAACTAATATACACGGAACAATGAATATATGTATATATCAGATATCAAAAAAATATCGTTTATTTAAAAAAAGTGCACATTTACAATAGATCAATTATACCTTTGAGGATTAAAGAATATTATCCCATAAATAAGTGTCTTCTAGAACTTAAGTACATATGTGCGATAAAATGTTTAAATTTCCATAGAAATAGTCTTTTTTTTCAATTATATTAAGTAACGTGATGAACAAGTCGTGTGCCTGACGGTAAGCTGCACTATTCATAACAGTTGCAGTGCCACTCACGAGCTTTAAATCGCAAAGATCTCAGGGGTACATGACACAAATTATGTACTACATATGATTATTTTTCTATTTAAGCATAAAAAAATTATCGACTAATTTCGTTCGTGAAATCTTTGAATTTATCTACTGAAAGTTGTCATTTTGCAGATATAGATTTGTTACACCAAGTGTGTGGATATCTCGCTAAAATAATTACATGTGTGAAAAACGTAAATTTATTAGATTTATTCCATTTTTAATTTTGTGAGGGTGCTTTCGTTTGGAAAGTTTTTGTATAGTGAGTATTTCTATTTGTAATGGGTGCATATGTATTGAAAGCCGGGGCGTGTCGCCGTATCGATTATATATATCGATTTTCATAGCATATCTTAAACCAAGATTTTGTCATGATTATTTATATAAAATGTTTTTAATGCCATTCTATATATGTGTTCTCTTTTGTCATCACAAAGTATCCTTAATAAGAAAAATCTTTATACAGTTAAAGCAATTTTTTTTATAATGAGTGACGGAACGAACAAGTCGTGCGCCTGGTGGAAAGCGACGAGCCCATATATGAGAGACATAAATTGACAAGTCGCATGTACCTGTAATTTCACCAGCACCCTTACCCTTCCAAACTGGAACGCATGAATGCTCACATTATTGCTTGGCGGCAGAAATACGTAAGGTGGCAGTACTTCCCTGGACGAAATCTTTCACAAGGAACTTTACTGCTAGTTAAATACTTACTAAAATATTAATTTTAGCTGAAGCTTTTTTATAAAGTCGTGGGACTTTATAAAAAAGCTTCAGCCTTACTTACATTACATGTCTCTATATTTTACTGTATGAACTTACTATTTGTAAACAACAATGAATCAAATTAATTTGTTTAGACACAACGGTCGGATTAAGACACCATTCCGTTAACATTTGAATTTGTTTATCGCTCGCCGGCAGTTCACACGCCTCGATGGACAGCCACGTCTTCCTGAGAGGAATTAAATTACATAGCGTTTGTTTGCTTTACGTATACGTATGTGATTGCCCCTTGTCTTGGAAAGCGGAGCGTAAAAAAGGCTTATTTCGGTTTTAGCAAGAATATTTAATTGTGGGTCACTTGTTTCAGGTCTTTTAGCATTTAGCGTTTAGCAAGTTTTTATTTTTATTTCCCCAATATTTTACAATGGTTAATGCTGTCAATCAGTGACCATAAAGCATTAAACTGTTCCAAATATTGTCGTAATGTTATTATGTTGGTTGCTGAAACATAGGTATCATATAGATTGATCATGTACGAAGAATAGTCTATTTGATATATTAATTTGTAAAATAAAATTGCTTTGAAAATAGTTCGAGAGTAAACTATAAAAATATAAATTAAATTTGTTGAAATATATTAACGGCGTCTTTACATAGGGTCGACTGCCGCCTTCGTTAGCTGAATTCGTTTATTATTTTATTTTATAATATCAAGTGACGGGAAGAGCAAGTCGTACGCCTGATGGTAAACTATACGTATATATAAGCATACCTGTCTATAACAGTTGCAGTGCCACTCAGAGCTTTAAATCGCAAAGATCTCAGGGGCATCGCCACTGCGCCCGTCTCCCTGTGGCGTAAGTTGACAAATCCCATGTGCCCGTAATTTCACCAGCACCTTTACCCTTAAAAACACAGTAATGCTGACGTTACTGCTTGGCGGCACAAATAGGTAAGGTGACAGTACTTCCCTGGACAAACTCTTTCACAAGGAGCGCTACTGCTACTATAACTACGTTTGTCGAAGAGGCGGCAGTGGCGTCGGTCGATGCGCTGTTTACTCCAAGTCGACAGTCGCCTTCGCCGAAACCATCAAATCATTATAAATGTAAACGTTCAACAAAGTGATCGGGTTGGTAGGTATTCTCCGGCCTTCAGTATGCTCATCGTGGTGGGACGCAACCGCCGACACGTTGAAATGTGACGGCGATCGAGTCACGTGAGAATGACTACACCTACACCATAGTCGACTAGGTCGAGTTTGACGGCTGACTACGGTCGTCAAACGATTTAAATTCGTTCGGCGGGCGTGGGGAGGTGACCTGTCGACCTACTGTAAACGCGCCGATACACTTATTACAGACATTCCAAAATCAGGAGTTAGAGAAAAAAACTTAACAACCCGCGAGTCTTTGTCCAACCCGCGACCCATTGTCGTCAAATTTACTGATGCAACGGTGCGGGCAGCGTTATGGAAAAGCAAAGTTGTACTAAAGGGATCAAAGGTCACTCTCTCTGAATTCCTTACGAAGTCCCGTCATTCAGTCAGTTTTTGTAGCTGCCAGGCTAAAATTTGGGGTTACTAATTGCTGGACCTTGGACGGAACGATACATATCAAAACACCGGATGGCAGAAGACACAGGCTGGAGACTATGTCCGAGTTTCTTGCAATTTCTCCAAGTACCACAGCGAACAAAATGTAGGACCCTCTTTTTTAGTATTTTAATTCTTGGCGTACCTACTTAATTTTGATCGTTTTTGTAATGCAAAATTTTAATTTGCGACATTCGTTTGTTACGATTTTGTCTCTAGACGTCAACTGTCATTAACACTTAGAATAATAACGCATTACATCTTTTTCTGATAGTTACATAGCGATTATTCGTTCGGAAACGTGTTTAAATCTGTGATTAGTTTTGTTTTCGCTATGACATGCCAATGTTGCGCCGACATGTTTTATTTTATTTGTATACTTTATTATTAATTTCCGTAAACGGAGAAAACTATTAATTTCCGATGCTTTTGTGTCTTATTTCTAATTATTTTTTGTCATTGTAAGCTGTTCTCTTTCACGCTACTGGCGGGTATAATGAATATTTTGGGTTTTATTATTAACATATATATATACTTTTTTAATTTTTATCTTAATTATGTTTTATTTTTAGTGCTTATTATTATATATTATATTCTCTGTAATTACATACATATTATAATATTATATTAAATGTTGCAAACTAATGCCTACAACAGTAATGACTCTTTGAGTGATGGGTTGGATTTTCACTCAGCGTCTTGGCTTTCTGATTCTAGTTTTCATAGTGTGTCTCGACCATTAGATGAACTTCTGGAGGCTAACTTTTCAGCCGTCGCGATAAACTTTAACGTAATCCATATAAACGCACAGAGTATTCCTGCCCATTATGCTGATTTGGTGAGCACTTTCTCAAATAATAGGAATATTCATGCAACCTTAGTTTCGGAATCTTTTTTAAAACTATGTCTCCCTTCGTCTTTCTACGAGCTTCCTGGTTTCCATCTTATCTGCAATGATAGGACCGGTAAGGGTGGTGGTGGGGTTGTTATATACCTTAAGAGTAATCTTCCTTTCAATATTTTAGATAAATCCCCTTCTCCTTATTCTGAATCACCTGAGCATCTTTTTGTGGAAGTTTTTTTGGGCCATCTGAAGCTCCTTTTGGGAGTTTTTTACAGCCCAAATCTACATATTGATTATTTCAGTAAGTTTGGAACTTTATTGGAAGATTTGGCACCCACGGTTGATCATATGATCATTATGGGTGATTTTAACACCTGCCTGATTAAACACGACTCCCGTTCTACTCAGCTTCGCTCAATCGTGGATTCTACTAATCTTAGCATTCTCCCATCTTCTTCAACGCACCACTTTTCTGGATGCCAGCCATCTTTGTTGGACCCTATTATTGTGTCCTCAACTGACCATATTAGCGTACACGGTCAATTCCCTGCCGAAGCCTTCTCTTATCATGACCTTGTTTACCTGTCATACAGAATCCGTTGCCCTAAGCCTAAACCTCGGGTGGTCATGCAGCGCAATTTTAAGAACTTTGAAGAAAGTAGCTTTATGCGTGACCTTGGCGGTATTGACTGGGACGCTGTTCTTAGAGCCCAAACCATCGACCTGAAGATGGAAATTTTTAACTCGATGCTTATCCAGATTTATGACATCCATGTCCACTCCGTCCTGTCCAGCTGAAGCATCTTCTGGCTCCTTGGCTCACAGCAGACATTAAAGCTTTAATGACTAGGCGCAATCTTGCTAAGGTTCGTTATAGAAATGATCCCACAGACGTGACCCACCGTAAATTTAAGGACCTTCGGAACCGTTGCAGCAGGGTATGCAGGGATGCGCAGCGCCGTCACATACATGCCTCAGTTTCCAATGGAGATCCTGCTAAGGTATGGTTATTTTTTAATACTCTTGGTATTGGCAAGTCTAAATCTCCTACTCCTTTTAACCTTGATCCTAGCTCTTTGAACTCTCATTTCACTACGCCTTCCTTTCTTTCTACTAGTGTTAAGCAATCTACGCTACAGTCGCTCTCTACCGCTTACGACTCACAACATCCGGCTTTCTCTTTTAGGCCCGTGACCGAGGGCGAAGTTGAGAAAAATATCTTGGCCGTTAAATACAATGCTGAAGGGCTGGATGGAATAAACCGTAAGATGATCTTACACGGTTCTTCTATTCTTGTTCCTATAATTTGCCATATTTTCAACTTTTCTCTTGACATTGGCACCTTCCCGAGCTGCTGGCGTCAAGTTGCTGTAGTACCTATACCTAAAACCTCCAATCCATCTTTACCTTCTCATTTTCGTCCTATTTCTATTCTTCCGTTCCATTCCAAAGTTCTTGAGCGTCTTGTCCATTGCCAGATCACAATATTCGTGAACTCGTGCAATATCCTTAGTCCTTTCCAATCTGGCTTCCGTTCAGGGCATAGCACTATTACTGCCTTAACCAAGGTATCTGATGACATTCGAGAGGGTATGTCGAATCAACATCTGACAGTATTGGTTCTCTTAGATTTTAGCAATGCGTTAAATACTGTTGACTTTGATATTCTGTTAGCAATGCTGAAATCGGGCCTTGTGTCAGATTTGGTTGTGGAGTGGTTTCGCCACTATCTCGTTTGGCGTCGGCAATGTGTTCGTGTCGACAATAAGCATTCTAGCTTCTGTGACGTTACTGTAGGCGTGCCTCAAGGCGGGGTTCTCTCTCCTCTTCTTTTTTCCATCTTTATAAACTCCCTTACTCCCTTACTTTTGTGCCAGTATCACTTGTACGCCGATGACCTTCAGATTTATACTCAGTCTCCTGTGTACGACGTGGACAATTTAATCGCCGAACTTAATGACGATCTCGCGACTATACACGATTGGAGTCGAACCCATGGCCTTACGGTCAATCCTAACAAGTCGCAGGCCATCGTCGTTGGAGGCTCGAAGCAAATCGCCAAATTAAATAATGCCACTATTCCCCCGTTTTTCTTCAACTCCTTCCCTCTGCCTTACAGTAATGTTGTTAAAAATCTTGACGTTCTTTTTGACTCCACTCTGTCTTGGTCGCCACATATCGCTGAGGTGAGTAGGAGGGTGTTTGCTGCCTTTGGGTCATTGTGGCGTTGGAAAAATCTGCTTTCTGTGAGGACTAAGATTGAACTTGCGCAATCGTTGCTCTTACCTATTCTTGATTACGCTGATGTCTGTTTCATTGACCTTAACGAGGATCTGTTAAGCAAACTCCAGCGTCTACAGAATCTTTGCATCAGATTCATGTACGGATTGCGCAAGTTCGATCATGTGGCCGAATTTAGGAGAAGGCTTCAGTGGCTCCCTATCAAGTTGCGCCGTGAGGAGCACGTTCTCAGCTTTCTTTATAATGTTCTATACGACACTCGTACTCCGCCATACCTTAAGGTTCGTTTTCGCTTCCTCGGGGATGATCACAACTGTGAACTAAGGTTTAAATTGGATAACCTACTGAAGCCTTCTTTCACTCGCTCTGAGTATTACAAAAATTCCTTTACGATTAAAAAATTGGCTGCAAAATTGTGGAACGATCTCCCATTTGAAATCCGACATTCTAAGTCGCTACCTATTTTCAAAACCGGATTGCGTAAATATCATTTATCACAGTCCTAGTCTGCAACGTGTGTATAAGTTATTAGTAAGTATAAGTTTATTTAGGTATATTTATATATACATATATCTACGTAGGTATAATATGTCATTATTTTTTAAATATTTTATAAATTACTATGTCCTTATAAAATTTTTTTATTTTGCATTTTTTGTAATTTATACAATTTTTTTTATTTTTTTATTTTATATTTGTGAAATTGGCACACTACGTCTCCCGCTCCGATTAGCTTTCCTCTAACTCTAAGGTTGTCTGGAAGAGATAGCTCTTAGCGATAAGACCGCCTTTGCCCACATTAGTGTTAAGTTGTTTATGTACTATTCTTGTTCTTGTGTGTGAGCAATAAAGTGTTTATCTATCTATCTTAATATTTACTTAATTAATACATGTTTGTGACGCCTGGTGACGCCATAACTGTAATGGTACCTTACAAGCTACGTACCAATGATTCTTTAAGAAGGGAACGTAGTATACCGTATATATTTAACTGAGCCTTTTTTAAGGAAGTGCTTTTATATTACGTCATATTTTATATTAGGTTACACTATAGTCAATCCATATATCTACATCTCTTTCGGTTTCCTCTGTAGACAGACACGACACAGTGGCCTAATGCGGATTCGGAAAGTCAAACGTCTTGGGAGGATGAATCGTCACCATAATGCAAGTTCCATTTCGATAGTTTTCTTCGCTATCAAATATATTAATTTAATACCCTACTTAAACTGCAAATCGCTTAAAAACGCGAAAGAAATTCAGACTACCCAAGAATAAAAAAACTAAAATTAAATTTAAAATTGACGTGATTCTGCGTATATAATATAATCCATTTTACCATCACCCCTTATTATACTAAATGTTAATCACAGCACGGTTAAAATACCTCTAGAAATAATTGGCGTCATCTCACCTAACATCAAAGGAGGGGGAACAAGATCTCAATTGTAATTCTTGCAAAGGGTTGAAATACCTTGGGTATACGACACCCTGGTGCAATGTGGTAAGTAGACGACATATTATAGCTGAAATATTTAAAATTGAATTTAATCTTTTTTAATATCGATTTGGACGATCTCGCAATATACCACTATATTGCGCTGTGGACGCAGATGAGAAGGTCCCAGAGACCAATTAGGAAATGAACTTTTATAAATTGGTTTTGACATGAACGTAGCTTTAGTTGTACAGGTTATTTTGAAACCAGGTAATTGGTATGGTATTCATATTATATCAATAAACGTGAATCCTATTTTATTCCCAGCTCTAGAATATACCTTGTTTAGTGGATATGAGATTCAAAGTGCAACTAGGTACATAATTATTTTTAATTAAATAATATGATTATTTGTTTTACTCGTACAAAGGGATAAACATTAACACATATGCAATAAAATAAATATTTACAAATAACTTAAAACTGAACCAACATTTACGAGTTTATAGAAAAGAAGAAATGGTATTTACGATTTTAATGAAAAGTATTTAGTAGGTACACTCAACAACACATCAAGCTATAAGTACATTTTTGTTCGAATATCGCCTCAAGAGAACAAGATCCGTCAATGTGTAGCTTGATATGCTGCCGTCCATACTACTGGAACAATAAGAAGTCCACAGGCTAGATAACAAAAACCATTGTTCTTTATAATTAATTCTATATACTCGTAGTAGTAGTAACAATAAGTCGAATCGTCGTCAATAAGACGTCGTTATGACATCATCACCTTATTCATCACTTCGTTGAAATCTGTGTCAAAAACGATACGTGAGACAAATGTAATTTAAATTTGAATTTGCAGATTAAGTCTTATGATTAAGTCCAACTGCCAAAGAGCGTTTTACACACGCCGACTTTTAGCAATGCGTCTGCAGCGATTCAGTCGCGATGAAGTCCCTAATCGTCAATCGTTAAGCTGCAATCAAGCCAGAATTGGAATCCGTCTTTAATTAGGAACGAATAGCATCTCCAACAGAAAAATTATACCTGACCTTGGGATTAGTAAAATAACAAAATATATTTAAATATTATTATGGGTGATATATTTGCTGTTCCATATTGGTAGTCTTTCTAAAACCGATGAAATTATTTCTTCTAATGACATTTCAACTTGATTGATCGAAATAGAAATGTAGGTAAACAACAGGACAATGCTACAACTGTTCTAAGCTGCATTCACCGCGCAACTGGACCCCGACTCTCGCGCCGCTGCCTTCGAGAATAGCACAATGCGTATCTAGGGCGTTTTAATCAAGTCGCGCGACGCGCCGCTCGCGTCACTGTTGCAGCCGCGCGGCCGGTCGCTGTCGTCCTGTTTGAAACCTTACACACACGCGCGTCATAAGCAGCGATACAATCGCGATGCATGTTTTTAATGATTCAACATAAGCGACGACGTCGATGCAGTTGCGCGTTGCACATCGATGCAACCCCTACAAATCGCTAGTATCACGATGCAATCGCGAGTTCTACAAACGCGAGATTTATCGCTGCTAAAATTCGCCGTGTCTAACCGCTCAAAGACGCAAGGAGATATGGGAACCTAATATGCGATTTCTATAGTGCCTAAATTTAAAGTAACTCTACGTTATAAATAAAAAACAAATGAAGTGAGTTAGTTGTAATCATTTTATTAGTGTATTTATTAAATCGTAAATTACAGCACATCACTAAATAATTTTCAGAACGAATTTATGTGAACAGTAATTTGATAGGTTCTAAGGACATCATTTTGTCTTTATGGCTTTTGTCCTTAGGTAATATTTCAACAAAATTTTAACTTGCACGCTTCCTACACTCTGTCGGCAATATTGATGAAGTTATTCAAGGTGCACAAACAATGTTATCAAAGAGATGCCAGTCATAACTTGCTTACTAGCGCTTTAGTAACTCTTTAAGATGACTCGCATTTTGCCAGCAAATACCCGACAAGATTCAAAATTTTAACATACTTTTGAAATTAAATGAAAGTTATAATGATATTTCTTAGCCATCTTTCTTCGACTTGGAATCTTAGCTTCTCAAGTGTTTGAAAACAGCGTCTATTTATTTATAT